TTTCTTACATTTAATTTAAGAAATGAGAAAATGGGTTCTGTGTTTTAAAAAAACATTTCTGTCATGCTATCAAAATGTAAGGTTTTTAAAAAATTAACAGGTTTACTAAAAACCCTTAGGAAATGTGTGGATTGCTGATTCCGTGGAAAATCCATTTGTGCAGACGACCCTCTAGTTAGCTGAGATGTTGGCCACTATTGGTCTCTCCTCCAAAAATGACCTTCATTCTCCCCAGCTTCTCACTTGGTTTTCAAGGGCCTCTTGTTCCCCGAAGCCTGCTCATGTCTTCTCCATTGACCTTCCTCATGGAGATGCTCCCAGCACTGAGAGTTTGCATTTGGCTCATTTTGTTGCTGCTTGAGTCTTTGTGTTGATGCAGAACAATTTGGGGGGCATTCAGATTTTGAGGCTGAAGGCTCTATTAAAGTACCAGAGAAAAAAGAAGACCGAATTCTGGAAATAGGAAGGGCCCTTGGGCCTGTTAAGTTGCAGGGCTATGTTGTGAACAGCCCTGCTGGTTATTGAAGATAGAAAAACCAAAGCAATTCAACATGTGTTTGATGGGTAGCCAGGGGAGAGAGAAAATTTTGAAATACATCTTATCGGTCCCTGAATTATCCTCTATTTAGACATTTGTAAGAGCAAATATACCCTAAGCTACAGATGTGTTTTGAATTATATAGTTTTTTATATTGACTAAACCACATTTTAAATTCAAGTTTAAGCTTCTTGCAAATCATCCTTGCAATTTTTTTTTTACTTGAGTAGATCCTGTCTGTCAAACTGCTGATAGTAACTGAGTCTTATTGCATTGGATTATAGCATCATTTACCTCAGACATAAAGCAGAGTGAAGGCCACATTCCTTTGCAAATGCATTAAATTAGAGGAGAACAAAATAAAAAGTAAAGATCAATCGTCCATTGAAAGGAGTATAGGAGTAGAAGATGGGGTCTTGGGGAAACTAAGCTATCTTCCTGACTAGCGGAATGATTCTCAACCCTGGGTACCACCCAGAGTCTCTAAGGAACCTTCGAAACACCAGCAGCAGCCGCAGATACTGATGCCTGGTCCTTCCCCCAGAGAGTCTGACTGAGTTGGGGCCCAGGTAGCAGTAGTATTTTGAAGCTCCCCAAGTGACTCTAATGTGCAGTCAGTCAGGTTTGAGAACTGCCGAAGTAGGCAGATGAACATCCAAATGATTTTTTAAAAGCATTTATTAGTAGACTTAAGTAGTGACTACATAGGTATTTGATAAGAGGAAACATGAGAAAAGGATGAGGGAAAGAAATTTTAGTGTAAAATTAGTAGAGTCTTACAATCCATTATTCAGTTCTGAAATAGAAAAACGCTGAAAAACAAAACCTTTTCATTACTGACTTTTTGGCGAGGTGGGCCCTACTGAACCTATCTGGTGGAAAATCTTGAGGTTTTGTCTCCATCCCATTTGGTGTGAATAATCATACATCTTATTGCATAAATATTAATGTGTCTGATTTCTGATTACAAAGTGCTGCCCCAGACCTCACTGAGGGTGTGACGTAATTAGGGTACCTCTGGGGAATACATACAGTTTTGAAGTGTGACATCCATCTAGCCCCGGGGGTTTTGGACCATAGCTGGGAGGGTCTGTGGCAGGTAAGGCCAAGGTAGTAAAGGACTCTCTGTCCTGAGTAAGAATGCCTTTCTTCTGACTACCTAGGCCACGGTTTAGTGCCCGCATCAAATGACAACAATGGCCACTATCAGACGTAGCCCTTGGCTCCACAGGCGAGTGGTCCTCCAACCTGACCCGGAAGAGGTTTCCATTCCGGTCGTGGTGAGAGAGGCAATGGCTAACCAGCAGCACACAAGTAGAGAAGTAGAGAAATAACCACCGACCTCCAAAAGACTCTGCGGCATAACCAGTGACCCCCAAATGCAGCTGTTTAAAGCAACACATATCTTTGATCTCAGCTTCGGAATGTCAGGAATTCAGGAGCATCTTCTAGCTGGATGGTTTTGCTTGTGGTCTCTCAGGGAGCTGTCAAATCCTGGGCCAGGATATGAACCCTCTGAAGGCTTGACTGGTGCTGATCCATGGTGTTTGTTTTTTAGTACCAGCGGGTCTCTTATGAATACTGAAAGGAAGTTCCAGTCTCTGCTTCTGCACTTGCTCAGAGTTTTAGTTTTCGATCTAAACTTAACAGTTCTTTGCAGGAGAGGCCTTGCGTGCTGATATGTCTGAGTCCCGAAGATTGATGCTGAGAGCAGTTTATTAGTGGGCAGTGCCTCCTCTTTCGATCTTCGTTGTCCTCCCTGGGCAGCTTTTTCTCTGGGCTAAACCTTTTCTATGCACCCACCGCTGGGGGTCGATGAATGAGTGTTGATTGCCCTGGATTATACTGTAAAATGGCAATCAGGTCTCTACCTCAGTGGCACTTCCCTCCAGAAGTCAGGCGTTGGTCATACAATTGAAAATGATTAAATGATCACCAGTATTTTAAAAAAAAAAGAAGTGCCATGAAGATGCAATAGCAGGTTATAACGGGATCTGAACTCACTTCTGGTGTTGCCAGATCAGTGCTTTGTGGTTTGTGTTTCATAGGGAGAATAACCTCCCTTTGGGGTTCTGTCGAAAAATCTTTTCCATCCTGGGGCAGTGGGTGCTATTCCACCCCCCACCCTGCACAGAGCAAACATTCTTCCATCCTCCCAGACTGCAGACATGCAGGGGATCACTAAATCCGATGGTAACCCCATTTACTCTGTGTTTAAAGGAAGCTTAGGTTCCAGTTGACCTCCGCAGTTCTTCTTCCTCACTGCCATCTCTCATCTCCTTCCCAGCTCCCCAAAATGCCGTGTCGGCTTCTCGCTCATCCCATTCCTCCCTGTCTCCCCGCTGCCCCACTTCTTTGAAAAGATGTAGCATTATTCAATGGTAGGAATAGAATGCCATCCTTTTCTGAAATATTTGTATGTTGATCTTTATTTCTAATTAGAGAAAGAAAAGCTGAAGATCTCTCTCTGACTGGTATGACTCAGTTAGTTGGAGCATCTTCTCATAAACCAAAATGTTGCGGGTTCTATTCCTGGTAAGGCACATACATACCTGGGTTGTGGGTTCAGTCCTCGGTTGAGGGTGTAGGAGAGGCAACCAACCGATGTTTCCCTCTTGCATCAATGTTTCTCTCCCTCCCCTTCCCACCCTCCCTCCGTTCTCCTCTCTCAGAATCAGTAAGCACATCCTCAGGTGAGAATTAAAAAAAGAAAAGGAGAAGAAAAGCCGAAGGTCTCATGGAGAGAATTTCAGGCATGGAAAGCTGGAAGAGGAGGGCAGAGATTGGTGTTGACTCTGTGAGCAGAGGAGGGATCCGGGCAGCACTTTGCGTCTTTGCTGTCGCTCTGTCTCTGAGCCCTGGCAGGGCCCTCTGAGGAGGCCCTGACATCAGGCCTCCATCGACAAGATCCCAGGGAGTGTTTACGGACTGTATCTTCGCCCCACCCCCCAAAATCTGTGACTGTGAAGGAGCACAATCCTGAAAAGAGGTGGTAGTACTACAATAGAACTGATTAACAATTTTAAATATATAAAATACGCAATAGTTGGTGTTCAGTGTTGCTGCTGTTTTCATTTGACTACGTACGCAACGAGTATCTATGAGGGTTTTCCTACGGGCACTCCTCCCTCCTGCCTCCCTCAGCCCTCTTTTTTCCTGTAAGACCTTGAACTGCAGATTTTCCTGCCAGGAGCATTTTCAGAACTGAGACTTCCACGGTTGGGGTGGGACTGATTATCTTCTCATTACAGTATGATTTTCAGGAGAGAGTCTTCAGGTGTCAGGGAAGCAGCTTAATAAGGGTACTCCCTTGGGACTGGCATTCGGACTTGCCAGCCAGGGAAGTGGCCAGCCATCTTGGCGGGGAGGGGGGGGATGATGTCCCTCCCGGCTGTCGTGAAAGTGGCCCTGAGTGGAGTCCCAGTGTCTAGCACATGACGCTGTTTTTGCCTACAAGTGAATGAATAGAAATTAGATTCATTTCAACGGCAAATCTTATTTCACCTTGAACTTCCATGTTCTCCCTTTAAAATGTCATTATCAGGACCCCTTCCAAAGTCACTAACACCACCTCCTCCTCACATCCAAAGATGCCTGTACTTCTAAGTCTCAAAAGTTGTGTCCTGTGGAGAATGAGCTTGTTCCAGAGGGGATTTTTAATCGCCACCAAACACAGATTTCCCGAAGATTATCTTGGCTAACTTTTCTTTTTCGCATTATCCTTGAAGGTGACTGTGCTTAACGTTGTTTTGGTCTCTTTTCTGTTCCTCTTTGAGAAGGCTTTGGAGAAGGGATTTAAAGCATTCAAAGTGTGTGGGGTTGGGAAAAAGTGAGAAAGCAAAAATCTGCACAGATAAGTGTGGGGGGGGGCGTGTTATTGCACTCGGAGGTTTTAAGTTTGTCTCGTCTGTTTCCATTTCATCCGCCCTATGAGTCGTTATGTGGCATATTTCCCGAACTGTTCTCTGTAAACCAGTCAGACTTCAAGTGAACACTTACTGTCTTCGAACGGAAGTCCAGTTAAACCAGGGTCACCTAATTGTTCTAGAATTTCTGAATGAACTAGAATCTTTGAGGGATAAATAATAGTTAGCATCCTTGCCAGCTTTTGTGCCTACTTGAATAATTTATTTGCATCATTTCTGAATGTTTTATGATTATATTTTTGAGGTTCTTCCCATCTGTGTGGCAAAAGTACCAATGTTTTATAATACATATACTCTGGGAACTGTCTGATTTCTTTTTAAAGAAAGTCAATATGATTATTTAGGATTTTTGATCTAGAACTCCTCAGCAGAGTTTTTCCACATTACCAAAATCATACAAAAACCCAAAGAGTGGCAGGAAACTTAGCTCTAATTGCAATAGATTTTAATTTGGGTTGCCTATGTAAAAACAAATTACTGCTTTTGATAGCTACAATTTTCTATTCTAATGGATTTTCCCCCTCATATTTTATTAGGTGCAGAGAGAACTAGCAGCTGTTATCGCTTTGAGAGCGAAGAAGTCTGGTGAGTAGTCTTTTATGGGCCCTAAGGAAGGTCTTATTCTCAGGGAGTGTTTCATTTATCATGTGGTAGTGAGCAGTTGAGTGTATTGCAGGAAGTTTTGGTGTAGAATGCAGAAAGATAGCATTGTTTAAAAAATCTTTTTGTACGATCAGAATAGCACAGGATGCTACACGTGGTTCTTTAAAATTTCTCTGCCTTGCTTTAACTTATTTCACATTTCAAGGAAAATGAAATTTAGAATTAAAAATGTTTCTAGTTCATTGCAACCATGAAAAAGTCTGGGTAAAAAACAAAGCAAACACATTGCATTTGCCTATTACAAAGAGAGAGGAAAATAAATAACATAAAGTTGTCTTTTTTAAAGATATATTTTTATCTCAAATACTTTCTTTTAAAAATATTCTTATTATGTAATGCCATTTAAAGCCAGCGTTTCCCATAGGACTGATTGCATGGATCTCATTCCTGATACTGGTAGGAAATAGTCCGGGGAAGTGATGCGTGGAAAGGGAGCTTTCAAATACGTTTTGAAAGAGAGGCTGAAATTTAGCACCGACTGGAGACTCACTGAGTTAGAAAACACTTGCTCGGGGCGGAGGGGTGTCAGAAGGGGGCATCCTTTGCTCTTCAGAGGGAAGAGGTCAGTGCTGACTGGAATGACGAACACAAGGGAGATGCTTTCTGGATGATGTCAAACTAGAATAAGAATTTTCAGGCAGAAAGACATAAGGCAAAAACTAAGAGAGATAATAAATATGAAGAAATAAAAGGAATGGAAATGTCTTAAGAACACAGGTCATACATTTTTACATCATTCTTTTTTTCCACTTGGAAACTCCAAGAATTTGCTTTTTTCTCAGTTACTTACCAAATCACGCAGACCTTAGTATGAATTAGCTAATTATATGTATAGTAATCTTTGTTGATTTGGCTTCTATAGAGGACACAGGGACTGGGTGTTATAAAGGTGAAAAGGGCGATGCAGAGAACACCAACCTTGACCCAAAGGTTATCGAACGCAGAGGGCAGGTGCATGGAGCCCCTCAGTGAGCAGCATTAGACTGTAGGTATTTGTGTGGGTGGAGCCTGACCTGGGGGGAAGGCACCAAATAAAAGTTGTAGGAGGGAGGGCTTAGAAATCAATGGTGCTGGAGGTGACTTTGGTTCCTGTAACAATAAGGAGACAAACTTACAGTCTGTACGGGTTGGGATGGCAGTGCCTTGGAGGATTTTTTTTTTCATCTTCAGAAAATGTTAGGAAAATAATAAAAAACCCATAGTGTGTCATTGCCAGAGAAAAACAGAGCAGACACATACAGACAGGGAGGCTGGAGGAGGGCGTTGCTAATTTGCAGAGCGTGGGTGGGAAGGCCCCTGAGGGAACCTCTGAGCAGAGACCTGAGGTCAGTGAGGGGTGAGCCCTGTAGCTCTCCACATGGGAGTGTGTGGGTGGAAGTGTGTGAAAAGTATTTGAGGAGTGGCTGCAGCCAGGTGAACAGGGTGGAAAGAGGTAGGTTTTGATGGTCAGGCTCAGAAGCGTGAACTTTGTGGAGGTGAAGGGAATGGAAGAGGAGGAAGGCCCATGCGTGTTAGATGGTGCAAGTCGAAGACTGGGGTGAGGTCAACTGTGTTATGCCTTGAGGTGGCCGTAGGAAGTTAGTGTGGCTTCTTGTTACTTGTTTGACCTGTGGAGCTGGGAATGCGAACACAGCTTTGGCAACTTCTGAGGGACAGAGTGAAATGGTCTCTCACACATACTACTGATGATGGGACATAAATTCATAGTTTCTCAGGATAGCAGTTCTTCAGTGTTCTGGTGTCTCTAACTCCATTACCCAGTGACTTGTTAACTAGAGTTCCAGCTGTTGGGGTTAATCATCAAGGCATGTAAAGATGCCAGTACAAGGAACCTATTGCATTGTTATTGTTCTTAACAATAAGAAATCGGACACCATCCTTATGGGAAGTGGTAAAATTGATAGATCAGTGCGATGGAATGTTGAACAACTTTTAACATTTAGAAGAATTAATGTAGTACAATGTTCAGTGGGAAAAAATGTACCACAAAGATACATTACATCTCTTTTTCATCATAAAAATAGCTTTAATTATTTTTCTTATAATTATAGTACAGCATGCCCATTGAAAGAATTTTGGTGATGCATGAACATATTATAAAGAAATTGAAAAATCACCCATCATGTCACTAACAGACATCATGTCACTCTTACTCTTTGCTTGTACAGGTTTCCAGACATTTCTTTATCAATATGTAGATACTATTATTATATATTAATATGCAGATTGTATAAAAGTGGACTCATGTGCTCTCTTACCTTGAGGTAATTATATAAGCACATGGAGTTGTAAGAAATAATACAGAGACCTCATGTTCCCGTTACCCAGTTCCCCCCAGATGGTATCACCTCACAGAGCAGGGGTGCAGCGTCACAGCCAGGACACAGGCATTGACTCACACTGTCCCCATCACCGCACGCTGCTCTTCCATAGCCACAGCAGCTTCCCTCCTCCCCCACTCCCTGCTTCATCCCTGCAATACCATTCGGTTCTCTGTTTCTGTAATTTTTTCATTTCAGAAACATTACATAAATGGAATCATACAGGATGTAACCTTTTGGGAGTGGCTATTTCCACTTGCCATAATTCTCTGGAGATTCATTCTGGAGGTTATTTCATACATCAACAGTTCATTACTTTTTGTTGCTGAACAGTACTCCATGCCATGAATGTGCGGCAGTACGTTTAATCATTTACCATTGAAATGCCCAGGAGTACAACTGCTGGGTCATTTAATAGTTGTGTATTTAGTTTTTTAAGAAACCGCCAACTGTTTTCCAGAGTGGCTGTACCATTTTGCAGTCTCACTAGCGAAATATAAGTGATCCAGGCTGTCTGTGTCCTTGACAGCATCCAGTATTCTTACTATTTTTATTTGAGCCATTTTAATAGGCATGCAGTGGTACCTCACTGTACTGTGTATTTGCATTTCCCTAATGGCTAATATTCTTGAATATCTTTTCATGTACTTTGCCGTCTGAATGTTGTCTTTAATGAAATATCTGTTCATGTCTTTTGCTTTTTTTGTAGTTGGATTGGTTTTTTTCTGTTGATTTTTGAGAGTTTTTTAAAAAATATTCTACATACCAGTTCTTCCTCAGAGATGTGACTGGCAAATATCTTTTCCCAGGCTACAGTTTGTCTTTTTGTTTTCTTACCAAAGTCTTTCACAGAGCAAAAGTATTAAATTGTGGTGAAGTCCAATTTATTAATTTTTTTTATAGGTCACGTCCTCCGGTTGACTGTAAGAACACTTTGCCTAATCCCAGATCCCAAAGATTTTCTTCAGTGTTTTTATTTTTCTTGACAAGTTTCATAGTTTTACTTTTGAATTCATGATCCATTTTGAGTTAGTTTTTACGTGAGGTGTGAGATTTAGTTCAAGGTTCTTTTTAAACCTCTTTTTTTTTCTTGTTTGGCTTATGACTGTCCGATCGCTCCAGCAGCATTTGATGAAAAAACAACTCCTGTTGCGGTGCTTTTGCGACTTTGTCAGAAGCTAGTTGGGGTATTTGGGTGGGGTCTTTTTGGGCTCTCTGCTCTGTCCCACTGAAGAGACCCCACTGGTATCCACAAACACCACTGCCTCCATCACCAGAGCTGCACACAGTCTGCTTTGATGGGTTCATTTCCGTGTCAGCGATGCAGGTCTGCATCGTCATTTTATTGGCTGTACTATACAGTTCGTTTAATGAACTCTCGGTTGTGTGTTTAGGTTTTTATTTTTTCTGTTCTATTGTAAATAATAATAGAAGGACCTGAGGATATGTTCCTGTGCACGTCTTTTAGCCCTTTTCCAATTATTTTCTCAAAATACATTACTAAAAATAGAATAGCTAGATGAACAGCTAGGTATGGACAGCATTACAATTTTGTTTTTCCCAGTTAGGACCTTAAGTTGTCTGGAATTATTTTGTATGTGGTGTCAGGTAGAAAACAAATTTTCTGTTTTCCTTGTGCTAAGCCAGTTACCCCGGAAGCATTTATTGGATCTGGTGCTAACTCTGCCATATATGAAGTTTCTGTATATGCTTGGGCTTATTTCTAGTTTCTGTACTCCTGTGGTCTGTTTGTCCCTGAGCCTGCACTATCCTGTTTCAATGACCAAAGCTTTATAAATAGGACTTCTCACCCTGGCTGGCGTAGCCCAGTGGATTGAGCGCGGGCCTGCGAACCAGGGGATCATGGTTTGATTCCCAGTCAGGGCACAGGCCTGGGTTGCAGGCCAGTTCCCAGCAGGGGACGCACAAGAGGCAACCATACATTGATGTTTCTCTCCCTCTCTTCTTTCCTTCCCCTCTAAAGATAAATAAATTAAATATTAAAATAAATAAATAAATAGGGCTTCTCTTGGTAGGGTGGGGGGCGGAAAGGGAAAAGGCAATTCTCTTCTGTTTTTGTTTTCTTCATAGTTTTATTTTGTCAGTTTCCGTGAAACCTCTTTGGGCTTTTTCTTAAACATATTGAATTTATAGGTTATTAGGTGAATTTGATGCTTTGGAGGTAAATGTTTCCATCCTTGAACCTAGGATATCTTTCCATTTTTTTTCAAATTTTCAACATTGTTTAAAAAATTTCTCTGTTAAGGTCTTGCACTTCTTTTGTTTGATGTACTTTTAAGTACCTTGTGGTTTTGGTTACTATTATAAATAAACTATTTTTTCTGTCTCTCATTTTTTATAATTGTCCTTATTCTGTGATGATTTCTCAAGTCTTTCTCTTTCATGACATTTTTCTTAAAATAGATTACTTTTTGGAGAAGTTTTTATTTTTACTTTTAAATTCTTTCTTTTTAGGGATTTTATTTATTTATTTTTGGAGAGAGGGGAAGGGAGGGAGAAAGAAAGGAGAGAAACATCAGTGTGTGGTTGACTATCACGTGATCCCAATTGGGAACCTGGCCCACAACCCAGGCATGTGCC